CCCGAACGTCATCGTTATTATTTTCATCATCTTGACTGATATTATGTTCAATATTTTCGACGTCAACGTGTGTTGCTAGTGTCGACAAAAATGAATGGCTTACGTAGAATAATGATTGTGGAAATGTATAATCAACAATCTCAGTGAAAAATTATAAATAAATGACATCTTGTTTGCACAGGTTGGATGACTATGGTGGAGAGTAGCTTTCTTCAAATATGATGCGTATGAGGAAAATATCGAGTCTAATAGTATAAGTATATAATAATCTTGTGATAGATTGGGAGTTGAATTTTGCATCGATTGTATAGACAATGTATGTTGTGTCGCCCTTAGCACAGATTGCAACCTGGGTTTGAGTTCCGCCGAAATCGCAAAATAATTTTTCTCTGATTTGTTTTCCATCCAATCCGATGGTCAAAATAAAAAGGGAATATATTTAGGTGATCACTAATATAATTTATTCTTAATATTAATTATTTTTTATTCGTCTAATAATTTTAAATTAATATAAAACTTTGTAATATTATATTATATAATAAAGTCATACAATTATAGAATGGTTAAAATTTATTTATATTAAGGCAAAAAGTAATTTTGCCTATGTAGTATTATTATTTTTGCCCATATCTTATTTTTGTATCAATTTAATCGAAGAAGTTGTTCGATTACATCAATATTTAAAACATTTATTATTGTTTAGGGTCTAGAGCTTATGGTTTAGAGGTTAAGGGGATATGATTTAAGGTTTTGGGTTTTGGGTTTTAAGTTAGGATATGATATAAAATAATGCAATTAAATAACTTTGAGGGTTAAATTTATGCGAAAATACAATAAGGGTGAGAATGATAAATTGGGTCCACATGGATTTAAAAAATTGTCCAATGCTCAATCCATACAAATTCAGCTAATTAGGTGATTCACATGATCTTTGGGATACAAAATTGCATAACTAAAACCACACTCAAACATCTTTAAAATATAATATTAATTGTTAAAAATTTCAATTAATTACTAATGAACTATATTTTATATATTTTTTTAGATGAAACTCTACAGCTTCCTGTCAGTAATATGTTCTTGACAAAATTTTTGACAGCCCTACAAAATCTGTCGAGATCAAATTGACCGTTAAACGATCATATTTATTTGCAATATCAGTCTAATAATTTTAGGTCATATAACAATAGTAAGACTCGATATATAAATTTACATGCAAGAAGAAGAAAAGGAATGTGAATTTATTTTCTGTTAGATCCAACAAAATTCATCTTCAACTCATCATTCTTTCTAAAATCACTTATTACAGTTCTTTGTCCAAATCAAAAGAAGTGAACATTCTATAACAATAACAACTCGCGTTGTTTCATCAACAACAATAAAATTATATGAATAATATATATATATATATATATATATATATATATATATATATATATATATATATATACCCTTTCGCTACTTCCAAAAGTAGAGAAATTGGTTTGTTTATTATTTCAATAGGAACCAAAATCCAATATGAGATACGATGTTGGTTCATCCATGAAAGGATTATAAAAAAGGCACAAGTGTTCGTTTTCATGGTATAGATTTGCAAATGGAGTTGAGTGTACCAAAACATTGTAACAATCCGCTGTTTCTATCTCTCGTTCTTCTCCTTTCCCCCAAGATAATTTGGCTTAAATTACAAGCAAAGGGCCGGAATAAACTTAGTTTGCCGCCATCACCCTCAAAGCTCCCAATCAGGGATGGAATGAGGGGATGAATGCGGATCCAAAATTTTAAAATTATCAAATTTTAAAATTTTAGAATTTTAGATTTTTTTATGTATTTTTATTAAAAATTTGTTTTTATCTTTTAGAGGTTCGTCACCCTTAACATAAAATTTTACGTCAATCTCTAATTCCAATTATTGTCAAACAGGGATGGGCATGGGTAGTGTTCGGGTATTCAAGTCAGGTTCTGGTCAACTCGACTAGATTAAAAATATATATCATCCACTCGAAACTCGACCCGACCCTTATTTAGGAGTGACTTACTCGACCTGACTTTTTGATATAAAATCTGAATCTGACCCGATCTGATCTGAAATAAATATATATATTATTTTTATTCAATAAAATAGAATCTAATTGAATATATATATATAATTATTATTGCAATTTTTCCTGAAATATAAGATTTGAAAAAGGTTTTTGAGTGATAAATTCAAGATTAAAGATTTAGGTGATTTGAAGTATTTTTTAGGAATTGAAATCAGAGAAGGGTTCGATTCTAAATCAGCGAAAGTATTAGCTGAAATTGATTGGCGATACAAGCTTGAAAGAAGCAAAATGTACCTTGACTCCTTTGGAGCAAAACCTACAGTTGACTTCGACAATTATTTACGAGACCTTAGAGTGTTCATGATACATGGTCGGAGTACATGTTCCACAAAAACAAGGTTCAACTACGAGGATGGTTCATTTTGTAACCTTCACCTCTATCTACACAGTTTCAAAGCAATATAAAGAGAAGATTGATTGATTTAACTCATACACGGTCAGACTTAATTTTTACTGTGTATCACCTAAATCAATTCATGTAAAGTCCGAAACAATCTCATATGGATGTTACTTTACGTATGGTAAGATATATAAAGAGAAATCCAGCCATTGTTTATTATTTCGAGCTTCAGGAGATTATCAAGTGACTGCGTACAGTGATTCAGATTGGGCATCTACCCCAATCTTGCCCTATAACATGTAAATTAGTCACTGGGTTCTGTATTAAGATTGGAGATTGCTTAGTATCATGGAAATAAAAAAACAGAACACTGTAGCTAGATTTTCAACAGAAACGGAGTATAGGAGCATGGCATCAACGGTGTCTGAACTCGTTTGGCTGAAAGGCTTACTTGAGTATCTAGGAGTTTAAGGAAGAACATCAATTAAATTGTATAGTGATACTAAAGAAGCTCTACAAATAGCTACAAACCCTGTTTTTCATGAACAAACAAACCATATTGAGATCGATTGTCATTTTATCAGAGACAAAATACAAGAAGATTAGTTGAAGCCAAACACATAGCATCAGTCGAGTTGCTTTGCGGATATTATGACTAAAGCTCTTAGCACACAACATGATTATTTAGTCAGCAAGTTGTGTCTGAAAAATGTTTTTTCACCTCCAACTTGAGGGGAGTGTTAGATTTAGTTGCTATTGAAGTTAGTTAGTTTGTTATTAGATTAGTTACGAGGCTACGAGCAGTTAGTCATGCACATCTTTTATATAAACACCTTGAGTAATTTGTTTAATGATAGGATAAACTATACCGATAATCCCCTATGTTTTCAGTCTGACCGAATTTGATTACCGAAAAAAATTAAGGGAAAATGGTCACTAACGCCATCTGTCCGTTCGATTTTAGTCCCTCAACCATGTTAGTGACTTCAACAAAAGAGACTTAAAATAAAATGGGCTTAAACAAAATTAATAGCATAGGAACTTAAATCGGACGAACCGATAACGTAAGGTACCATTTCCCCTTATTATTTTGGATGATCAATGTTGTTTAGACCGATAACAAAAGGGGCTATCGACATAGTTTACCCTTAATGATATAATGAATTACCTTTACTGTGTAAGTCTTAATAAGTACAAATGCCATACTTAGAGGAAAATGAGCATTTAAGCCCTAAATAAATGATAATTGAAAAACAAAATAAATAATATTATAATCTTTAAACCACAAATTATGATTATCAATTAGATGAGACAGATCATGAGCTATTTAAGATCGGCTCGGTTAAAATTTTGGTAAATACTCAACTAGAATAGATTCGATTCGAACTCGAGTTTGATTGAGTTTTTAACGAGCCGAAACGGGTTACTTGATACTTGACTCGCGTGATTAACTCGAAAAGCTCGCGAGCAACTCAAAAATATAATATATTGAGATTTAATAAAATAGAATAAATTATTAATAATATTGACATTTATGTGTTGATTTTTTTTAAATGCAATATAAGGTTTTTATATATTTAAGGTTTAGATTCAAGTTTGAGCTTCAATCGAATTAAGACATTTTTTTTTCATTTCGAGTTTTTTTAGCTTCAATTCATGATTTTGAGTTCGAGTCAAGCTTGAAAATTTTAAACTTAAAATTTTTGAACCAAATTGAGCTTCATTTTAAAATTTTCAAATAGAACTCAACAATATTCGAGCTTGACTCTCAACTCTGCTCATTTACGACCCTACTGAAACTCCGTGTGATCCCGTCGGTTCCAAACAATAAACAAGCTGAAGCTTCCTCACTAGGTCTAAATATTTGACAAAAATTCTAGCCACCACTGATTAGTAATCTTCTTCCGCCATTCTGGGCAAGCAATATAACCAGGCTGTAAAATTAGGAAGTTATACAGTGTGATACTTTAATATAAAGTTAAAATAAAGTGTTATTAGTTTTGTTATTAGTCAAATAATAAAATCGATAAAAAATTAACTAAAATATTATTATTTTTATCTAAAACATCAAATTTTTTAACATTTCCGATAAAAGTACCAAACAATAACAAAATCAGTAGAAAAAAAATAACAAAACCATTAACGACTAATAATATTTCCGATAATATTTTTTTAAATTATATATTAAAACTGCCGCACGTAAATATTTTCATGCAAAATTGGTTTCGTGCCCCTTTTCATATTCTATTCGTCTCAAGTTTTCAAACTTCGGTAAAGTAAGGAACTATTCCACTGATTTATTATTGACTTTTATTTTCAAGAGAGCTAACAGTTTGGGATAAATACAATAACAATTAAAATTTAAAAAAATAAAATATTTTAAAAAGTAATTCGATAGAAATGATATATTCAAACAACAATGATGTATTCAGGCCATTTTAATTCAAGCCTTTTTAAAATAATATAAGACCGTAACATATCTAAAACATTTAGTTATTTTAATGGGCTGAAGGGCATGTGGGCATTTTCCCATCAGGGCTTGTGAGTTTTGTTTTCCCACATGAGGGGACTACCCCCCAATAATTCCTTCTTCCATATCCAACTTCATCTCACCATCTTGACTCACAATCTCTGCAACCACGAACATTTATCATAGGTTTCGTTGCTCCATTCAATTACACCCAGCGAGAACGGGGTATTCCTTGCATTCTGTTTCACTTTTTTTACTGCAAAAGATATGTATTTTTTTTATTTTGTAGAGAGAGATTACGTTCGAGATATACGTCAGGATTGGAACACACATGGTACATAACATGAGCATCCTTAATCACTCGATCAATTAATAATTCTCTCTTGCATAATATTCTTTGATATTTCTTTGAGAATTAGTTTTCCGTTTTGTATGCTTGTAATATTTTCATGGTTAAGAAGCAGAGTGAGAGGAATCTATTAAATGTTGAAATTTATCAAACTTATCTTGATCCGTCTCTCATGGGTTTGATCTGGGATTTTTTTTTTATTTGATGTAACCTCAATGGGGTTATTGATTTCTTTCCCAAAGTTTCAATGAATCATAGTACTTTGTCTTTGATTTTCTTTTTACTTGAAGAATCTGCCCTTAATACAAATTCGAATCTGCCCTTAATACAAATACATGTTTTGTATTTGTTTCTATTTATCTGCCAAAATTACGGACAAACACAAGTATGAGCATCACAATCTTCCAAGGGAAAGTTAGCTGGAGTCTATGTTACTAGGGTTCTTTATTTTTCCTGATGGATACTGAAATAAATTGTTAGAAACATACCTAGTTCAGGATGATTTGTTCATCATGTGGTCTAGGAGATTAGAATAAGAACGAACTCTCTTCAAATGATCTTGATTGTATGCTTCATGTCAATGTTGGCGAATTGTATTTAAAAGTATTTTGCAGTTTATATAATTCAGAATCCTAGAAGGTTGCGTATGGGAATTGGCTGAGTAATTTTCTAAACCGTAAAGTTCTTTGAGTTTCTTACTATTGACATCATCTATTTTCGAGGTCTTGATGTGCACTTATGCACCCACAAAAGTTTAGTCTTATTGAATAGATTATTGGCCTCCAAGACCTCTCCTACGATTGTGAACTTAATCTTTTAGGTGAATCCTCTGCAACGATAAAAAACATGAAGAAACCCGAAAGGTCTAGTGCTTTGTTTAGGTTTAACACATTTGTTTGGGATTTACATTGTTACAACTTTTCAGTAATGTGCTGATGGCTGTTAATAAATGACATTCTCTGCTTCAACTGTATCCACCATGCATATAATTAATTTCTTTAAAAAAAATCACTTTTTAATGAATACATTTCACTACTGATTTATCTCAATTTGGACTTGCGAAATTAATCTTTGAGTTGGTAATATGATAGGAGTAAGAAGTGATTTTCTCATGGACTTGGCAACCGGAGTAGCAAATGGGCAAGGCAGGCATCCTATATTTTCCTTCGGTGTTATTGCTGATGTTCAGTATGCTGATATCCCTGACGGTCACTCATTCCTCGGTGTTCGTCGGTATTATAGACATAGTATTCTTGTTCTACAAAGGGCAGTCAAGAGCTGGAATGATTGCAAGAATCTTAACTTTGTGATTAACTTTGGAGATATTGTTGATGGGAAGTGTCCCAAGGATCAATCTCTAGATGCTGTGAAGAAAGTAGTAGGCGAGTTTGAAAATTTTCATGGTCCAGTATATCACATGATCGGCAATCATTGTCTTTACAATCTCCCACGGGATAAGTTACTCCCTTTATTGAAGATACCCAATCATGGCGGTGGTCATGCCCACGCGTACTATGACTTTTCACCAACCCCAGGTTATAGATTTGTTGTACTGGATGGATATGATATTCAGTGCAATCGGATGGCCTATTGACCACCCGAATACATTGGAGGCCATGAAAGTACTGAATGAAAAAAACCCGAATTCAAATAAAAACAGCCCGGAGGGACTGGAAGGTGTTGATAGAAGGTTCGTTATGTTCAATGGAGCAGTTGGAAAGGAGCAGATGGAATGGCTCAATAGTGTACTTCAGGATGCAACCAATATGGAACAGAAAGTTATTGTATGTTGTCATCTGCCATTAGATCCAGGTGCAACAAGCAAAACGACGCTTTTATGGAACTATGACCAAGTAATGGATGTGATTCACCGGTACGATTGTGTGAAGGTTTGCCTCTCCGGGCATAATCACGAAGGAGGATATTCAATTGATTCTCATGGAGTTCATCACAGGGTTCTTGATGCTGCTCTGGAGTGTCCTCCTGGTACTGATGCTTTCGGGTATATCGATGTTTATGACAACATGTTATCGCTTGTTGGCACTGATCGATTGGAAAACACCGATTTTAGTTTCGATTCTTAAACAATTTTTTTTATAGAAGATCAGTTAAATTATTTCATCAAAATGTATGAAGTGTATGTTACTGTAATTTGATCGACTATTATTTGATAATAATAGAGCAAAGTGGAGCTTTTTAAGCCAGTATGAGCATTCAAACGGTTAATTTGATAATCGATTGAATTGAATTAAGTAAAATTGAATTAATTGGATTTTTCTTTAATTGTTAATCGAATCAGTTTTTCTTTTTAAATATTAATCGAATTGAATAAAGTTTGATTAATTCGATCGGTCATTGATTGCACTATAAAGACTGATGTTGAACATGTCATGATATGTAGTGGGATATTGATGATCAACATAGAATTTGTCCCTCCTATATAATGAGAATAATATTTTAGACCGCTTGATTGAGTGAGACTATAAAATGAATGATCATGCTTCAATATTAGATGAACTATAGAAGTGTGATTGATCCATGATTTGTGTTCAAACTAGATACAAAGGACAAAAAAATTGGTAAATAGAACTTAAACGCAAAAAGATTATGTTGAATAATGATTTCTTGTAACTCATGCAACAATGATGCATTATTAGATGTCATTCATTGTTTATAATATTACAATCGTTATGGATATTAGTGCTAATGTTACATGAATATGTAAGGATTACAATTTATAGTTGAAACGAAAAATTATAAAATTAAATTACATGTATAGAAATTGGTTACACACAAATAAGATATTTAGTTAAAATTAATATATATATATATATATATATATATATAATGAATTGAAGAAATGAAGAAATTATTGAAACCCAATTAAATTGAAGAAATAAAAGATTGAGAATGTTACATAGGCTTATCAAACTTCTGGTCCAAGTCCCATATCGTTCCCTTCTTGTTGTCACCTTCTTCATCAATTGAAGTCATCTCACATCGAATCAATTTGATCATTGCTATCACCAGGGATCGAGGGAATTGACGGGCATTTGTTTTCTTGAAAATTTTAAAAATATTATATAATTTAAATATTTTTATTTATATTTTCTATTGATAATTTGTTTTTGTCTCCAACAATTTCATGAATTTAACCCTAGAATTTTATAAATTTATCTCATAACATAAATTATGTCTTGGTATATGACTATCACTAATTATTTAATCCCTTGCTCAGCAGCTTGATATCGTTTAAGCAAAGTCTCGAGTTTGAATACTCGTGTATGGAGAAAATTCCTGCTAGGAGACTCGCCCACTAAAACTAGATGTGCGATTAAATTCGAGAGGGGAAAAACCTTTAACCCAAGCTTTACTTTTTCCCATGCACAAGCAGATTGAGAATTGGAACCCGTAAGTGAATTGAAAACAAAAGCTAATGAAATTAGAGAAAATAACCTCAGTGACCAAAAATGCCTTATAATATACGAATTTAACCAACTTTTTTTGGATTTGCCAAAATGACCAACAAATTCGCAACGCGAATTCCAATTTCGCAACCCAGTTTCCAATTTCGCAATGTGAATATGTAAATCGCAACACAGAAGTCAAATTCGCAACGCGATAGTCAAATTCGCAACGCGAAAGTCAAATGTTTTTACGCGAAACACAATATTAATTTCGCAACACAAATGTAAACAGTATTATCGCAAATCATCTCTAACCTAAAACCCTAAAGTACAACTCAGTCCCATCTCCATCTCTCACTCTCTACGGCGACATCCATCCCCATCTCCGACGAAATCTGTCCCCATTTCCGACGAAATCCATCTATCTCCATCTCTCAGGGGCAACCCTCACAACCATTCACGGTCAGAAATGGAAAATCAACCACCGAGGGTTAGTTTTTTAATTATTTTTATTTTTAAATTTTTGTATTATTATTAGATTAACCATTTCACTGAGATTGCTAAATTCATTCGGTTGCTGCTAATACTGCTAAATTGTTTAGTCTTTAACCCTGTGAAGTTAGTATTTGTCTTTGTTTTGTCTTTTTGTTGAAGAAACCCTAAATCGCAACACCAAATTCACAACGCGAAAATGAAAATCGCAAACTAAAATCGCGTTGCGATTTTCATTTTCGCGTTGCGAATTTAAGTTTCAGAAACTTCTTTTATTCTGTAAATTGAAACTTGAATGAATTGTATTTCTTCAGCCAAAAAACAAAGACAAATACTAACTTCACAGTGTTGCTAATTTAAGTTTCAAGAATAAACTACTACTCTTTATGTTGTCCTTGAACATGCACTAAACCTATATGTTGTCCTTTTAAATGTTTATATAAGTGCTTACTTCTGGAATGTTATCTGATGCATTTTGTGAACTATGATGGAATAATGACTTGGGTGAATACCGTGCTAGTTTGAAACACATTTGGCTTTGTTTTCACTGTTTAATATCATGTCTGTTTATAGTGTATAATTTGTAGTTTTTGGTATATCTAACTTGGTATGTTTATTATTTTTGTAGAAATTTTTTTCGGCTGCATTGACCTTAAGGAATAAATTAAGCCTAGCCACTAAAATTGCGTCGACGCTTACACCTCTACAAAGAAATTTGTTTGAGGATACTTGCTTCGGGCCATGGCTGAAAGTGCAACATACGGGTGGAGATACTATGTTGACACATTTGTTTCTTTAGACCATGACTAACGATCTACCCGAGGGGGTACAACGTGGTGATGAGGAGATATTGTTTCATTTTCCTCTGGCACCGGCGTATACTTGTTTTGGACGGGAGGAGTTTTGCTTAATCACCGGTCTACGCTTCGGACACTATGATGTAGGTCGGTACACTAGTCATATCACCCGCCCATCATGGTTATATCGGATTTTTCTTGAGCTGGAAAAGTCGAAGCCGAGTATACACGTCGACGACTTGAAGAGATTATTTGATAAAGATGGTTTTACTCGAATGGATGACCTTGATGTTGTCCGAGTATGCCATTTATTACTTTTGCATGCCGGCTTTTTAGGCAAATAAGGCAGACAACCAATCTCCGATGACCTAATATTATTGGTAGAGGACTTAAATGCATGTAACCTGTTTCAGTGGGGTTCATATCTATGGAAAGCTACCTGGAAGAAGTTGTCGTCTGCCTTTGAGGACCGAAAAAGTTTGCGGGGCGATGGTTCTAAATACACTTTGACAGGCTTTACTTGGGCCTTTAAGGTAAGAATTTCTATATAATGTTTCCAAAATTATAATTAATTATTTAACAATTACTAATGTTTGTGTATTATATTGTTTTGTAGATTTGGATATTTGAGGTTTTCCCCAGCATGCGGACATATGCGATAAAAAGATCAAATGATATTCCTAGGGTTATTACTTGGAAGATGATCCGCATGTTGGATTGGGAAGATTTACTCCCATATACGACGATGAATGATGTAAGTTAACATACAAATAATATATGGTATATAAACAAGTTATTACTAGTACAAGTTTAACTTTGTTTGAGTTTTTATATTGTTAGGAGGCCAACTATCCATTACAGAGGCTGACACCCACAGAGGCTGAGCTTGCCACTGATTGGTGGCAAGCTAGTAAGTGGTTTTTTGATGGGACGGATGATGAGCACCCCCCACCTCGAGAGCCATCACCTGATCGGGCCGATTCTACAACTCGACACCCGGAGCCATCACCTGATCGAGCCTCTTCTCCACCTCCACCATCACCTATTCCATCACATCATCGAGCCTCTTCTCCACCATCACCTCATTATAGGCGACCGACAAAGAGGCCACGACATTTATCTCTCTGTTCTCCACCTCCACGGGATGAGTTAGGGGAATTACGTGATGAGGTCGGTACTTTACGTGAAGATAATGGTGCATGGCGTGATAAGGTTCGATCTTTACGTGGTGAGGTGGATTTTTTACGCAATGGCAATGGTGTGCTACGTGGTGAGGTATCTACCTTACGCAATGAGGTTGCCGCTCTACGCGAGATTATTTCATTGTTGCAGAATGAGGTTAATACTCTACGCAATGAGGTAAATTTGTTTAATACTATACTAAAAATGCAAATAACTTTTTTTCGGAATTATTTATTTATTTATTTACTGATTTATATATTAATTTATTTTCAGCGGCCCAATAAGGTAGATGCTTTACGTCGGGTTTTTCTTGCACGACGGGGTTCACGCATCAAACGTCGTGCACGTGCCATTACGTCTTCGTTCACCCCACTAGTGCCAAGACTCCGTAAGAATAAGCCTGATGCACCTATCATCATTCAAGAGGCGTCTTCTATCGTTCAAGACGCCCCTCTCATCATCGAAGAAGCCCCTCCCACCGTTGAAGAGGCCCCTGTCATCGTTCAAGTGGTCCCGCCCGCCGTTCAAGAGCCCGATTCATTTGGCGTCATATATTGACATATTGATAAACCCCCTATCGTGCCCGATATGATGGATGTGTGTTGGCTTTCGTATGAGTTATCGGCCAGTACCATTCTTCAACAGGAGATGGAAACACTACCGGACACAATTACGGATAATATCCTTTGGGCTAAGACCGCAATTGATTTTTATCTACATGAGCAGAGCAATGAGTGTTATTCTGACCTATGCCAAATTTATGATGCTATTCACTTGTTTCTTGATCGGTCTTGGTGGGGTATTTTATTAGGGGTTGAAGATAATGGTTACCTCGAAGGGGGGGTAAGTATTATATTCTTCTTATATTGCATTTTGATTAATTTTTTTTAAATTATTAATAAATTCACTAATATATTTATTTATTTATTTTATAAAATAACATATTGATGCATGAGTGTCACGTCTTCTAATAATAAGGAAATTGAAGAAAAGAGGTACTCGATAGACTATTATGCCGACGTCTTTTAACGCAGCTCACTTGAACGATCAGAGAGATGCTTCATATAAGTTGGCTAATGGAAAAGCTAAACTTTATCCTGCGTGGTGGGAGGTCGATAAGGTTAGTATTTATTTTTTTTAATATTTTAAAGGTTTTCATAAATTTTATTTGATGTGCGCAATTATTTATGATTGCAGGTGTTTATCCCTATTTTGGAACATCATCATTGGCTTCTCGTCGAGCTTCAGCTCCCATCCCTGAAGACAATAGTATATGACAGCATGTTG